CTCCTGTGCAAAGCTGGCCAACTACAAGCGCCTGAATCAAGTGCAACGTATAGACTCAAATAGAATAGGAGACCTAGTAATAGATGGTCAGCTAACGCATCAATGCACAGACTACAATCTGCAATCACCCCACAGTAATACAGCAGTAAAAGAAACTGCGGAATGGAATTGCAAGAATCTTTCAAAACCAGCTACAAGAAATCCAGTACAAATAGGAAGAGAAATGAAGTGCAGCAGTGCTGATAATAATAATGTCACAAGGGACATTTTTAAAGCAAAAGGATACTACAAAAATGACATGTGTACATACAAGATTCCCTCATGTCAGCAATCCCACATTGACATGAGTATCAGAGATTTGGGAGAGGGGAATATCACCAATATTGTTAAAGCTGATAACGAGAAAGGTGTAATACAAGAAGATGGAAGTACTGAGAGATGTAGTGACAATGATGAGAGAAGAAGCTGTTACAGAAGTCCCATGAGAAATACTGACCACATGAACTCAAGCCTGATGTCAGAAAGCTCTGATTTTTTCACTGAAAGTGACGGTGAAGATGACAGCACTCAAATTAATATGGAGAGTAATGATGATGATAATAGCACTGTCAATGGTGATGATAGTCATGATGGAGGAGAGGGAGATACTGATACAGATAGAGGTAATCAAAGCAAGTTCAAAAGGAAACTCAGAGATAGGAAGCTACAAATCTTCTACACAAACTGTGACTCACTTCTGAACAAACGAAACGAGCTACTTCTTCTTCTTCAATCACATGACGTCGATCTTGTCTTGCTGACAGAAGTGTTCCCCAAGAACCACCAAAACCCCCTTACACATAGAGACTTCATTTTAGAGGGATATGATTTGCACTGCAATCTGGAGGATGGTAATAGAGGAGTTGCAATTTATATCGCAAGAGATCTTTACCACCTTGTCAGTGAATGTGATTTGCAGCACTGTTTCCATGAGTCAGTATGGATCTCAATTACTCTAAGAGGCTCAGACAAACTACTGATTGGATGCATGTACAGAAGCCCATCACTAGACAACCATGAGGAACTGAAACGAGCATTTACACAAGTCACATCAACCAACTCCTCCCATGTCCTAATAGCAGGAGACTTCAACTATCCCAACATTGATTGGAAGCTTGGAAGGGCAAGGTCCCATAATGAACAGGAGTTCATTGAAACTGTCGCTGACTGTTATCTACACCAACACATTGGGGAACATACCAGATACAGAGAAGGCCAACGTTCCAGTATGCTAGATCTGGTTTTCACGAACGAGGACGGCATGATCAACCACATAGACTATGTACCTGGAATTGGAAGAAGTGATCATGTTGGAATCCTCTTTGGCCTTACAGTATACACACCTGACACCCACACCCCTACTCCTCACCTCCAGTTTTACAGAGGGCAGTATGATGATATGTGTAAAGAGCTAGACCAAATCGAGTGGGAATCTGAATTGGAGAATAAAAGTGTAGAGGATGCTTGGGAGTTCTTTTAGTCACCCTGACTGAAAAAATGGAGAAGTTCATACCGAAGTCAAAACCAAAACACCGCAGAAAGAAACAGAGATGGATGACTAGAGAGGCCATGAGGAAACAAAGCCAGAAACATCGAGCTTGGAAAGAGGCACAGAGGACCAAACATCCTGTGGACATCATGAGAGCAAGGAGATTAGCCAAAGAGCTGCAAACTCTGACCAAGCAGTTATGTAGGAATTTTGAGAAAGACCTGGCTATGAATGTGAAATCAAATCCCAAGGCATTCTGGAGGTATACAAATAGCAAACTCAAAACCTCTTGCAGACTAGGTGAACTCAGAACTCCAGACGGTGAACGAATATCAACTGATAAAGGAAAAGCGGATGCATTGAACACCTTCTTCGCCACTACATTCACTGATGAGGATAAAGGGCACATTCCAAAACTCCCACAAAGACACAAAGGAGTGACATTGACATCTATCTCAATCTCTGAAGATGATGTTTATGAAAAGCTTGTCAAGCTGTCGAAGTACAAATGTGCCGGACCTGATGGCATTCACCCTTGCGTTCTAAAAGAAACAGCCGCCTCAGTTTCAGAGCCCCTCTCCATAATCTACAATGCATCATTGAAGGAAGGCAAACTACCAAGTGCATGGAAGGTCAGTCATGTGGTACCTGTCCACAAAAAAGCCAGTAAGATGGATGTTAAGAACTACAGACCAATCAGCTTGACATCAGTACCATGCAAAATTCTGGAGTCACTCATTCGAGATGAGATAGTTGCCCACCTGATGGAAAATGACCTACTTTGTGATGAACAGCATGGCTTCGTTCCCGGACGCTCTTGTGTGACACAGCTCCTGACTGTCATGGAGGCATGGACTGAGATGCTGGATAAAGGAACCCCTATCGATGTGGTATACTTAGACTTCAAGAAAGCTTTCGATAGTGTACCTCACCTTCGCCTTCTATCAAAACTTGAGACATATGGTATATGTGGCCAAATTAAGGAATGGATAGCAGACTTCCTCCAAGGTAGATGCCAAAGAGTTAGAGTCAATGATGAGTTATCTGACTGGACTAAAGTAAGGAGCGGAGTGCCGCAGGGTAGTGTTCTCGGCCCAACAATGTTTGTCTTGTGCATCAATGACCTACCAGATGGACTTCCAGGGTCTGTCAAGATCTATGCTGACGACACTAAACTGTATGGCAAAGCATCCAACAAAGATGATCTGTGCTCAATCCAATCTGACCTTGATGCACTAATGGAATGGAGCAATACATGGCAAATGCACTTCAACACACAAAAGTGCAAAGTACTACACATAGGCCCAGGAAACGTCAAACACATCTATGCCCTTGGAGATGATGTCCTTGAAGCTACATCTGAGGAGAAAGATCTCGGCATCCTCATTGATGACGAGCTAAAGTTCCATAACCATGTGGCATATGCAGTCAAGAAAGCCAACGGAGTACTCTCCTGCATCCGTCGCAGCTTTGAGTGCAGAGACAGGTCCACAATTCCAAAGCTATACAAAGGCCTTGTCAGACCTCTCATAGATTACGGAGATTCCATATGGTACCCTCGCTTCAAGACAGACTCCAAAACCATAGAGAGGGTGCAGAAGAGAGCTACCAAAATGATTTATGACATCCGCAACCGTCCTTACAGTACATAGAGAGACTTCGGGCGCTCAACCTTCCCTCCCTCGAATATCGCAGACGACGAGGCGACATGATTCAGGTTTTCAAAATCATCCATGGACTTGAACGCATCCCAGTTGATACCTTCTTTGAACACTCGACTAGCAACACAAGAGGCCACAGTCTAAAGATCGTAAAACAAAGATGCTCAACGAAGATTAGGCAGGATGCATTCAGCCAACGTGTCATCAATGACTGGAACACACTTCCTGATGAGGTAGTCACTGCTACCACAGTGAATGCCTTTAAAGCCAGACTGGATCGAGTATGGAAGGACAAGCGGTTCTGCTCCCCATATGAGTAGAATACCTGACGCAGAACTGAGCCAGACAAACCTACCAAGAAGACACCCAACTACGAGAAGGAAGAAAATGGAATTGAACTGGAAGCCCGACTGCTGAGAACACAGCATTCTTCCAGAATCTCGGGTAAAGGTAAAGGTAAAGGTAAAGAAACGTTTCCGAAATTTGACCCGTAACTCCAGCGTGGAGATACCCTACTAAAACATACCCAAAATGAAGTAAATATTCATTAAATGTCCAAATAAAGATCATGAGTTAAAAGTCGTTATGTTAATTACCTGTTTCGTGTCAATTTTCTTGTTATTTTTGGAGTATTTTTTGGGGAAAACAATGATATTTATATTCATTTTTTTACAGGTTTCACGGCAAACCGCTGCACAATACAATTCTCGCTACCCTAAATAGGTACGAAAGTCTCGAAATTCGCGAGACGAGGTAATTTTCACTCTCTCGGGTCGTCACTACAACTTCCGTTATAGAGTCCCATCCCGCTGGCGCTAGCGCCTGTGTTCGCTGTGCAGAGTTTTCACGCACGCTAAAATCGATGCCAATCAGTGTAATTTGTACAGATTATAATATGCAAATGAAAGCTTCGGGCAGAATTAGTGACTTTAGCACAAAAGGCCGTTAAACTCTACCGTGAAAGAGAGGGTTGTGATCACGAACGCCTGCACAGGAAGCTGTAATGTCGAAAAGCTATCCCATAATGCAATGCGCGTTTTCAGGATTTTCCCCGGATCTCGGCAGAATCGCTATTTGGGGTAGCGAGAATTACAAGTGCATACCGATGGTAGTTGCGGGAGGGCGCGTGCGGCGCGCGCCTGTGTGAAGTTATCTATCGTAATGTCTCAGATCCTCATTACGGTAGATAACTTTACTTGGGTATGTTTCTTCACGCCCGAGTTACGGGTCAAATTTTGGATTCGTTTCTGAACAAGCGCCACAATCGTCGGGGTAGGACGAAGAATCACCCCCCTTTTCATTTTTTTTCCCATCGAAGACTTCTTCAAATTATAATTTCAAGTTGGCGGATAGATGCCCAGAGAAGTCGAGCAACCTAGTAAGTCAAAATTGTAATTTATACTCCCTTTGCATATTTTGAGATAATGTCGCCCAACCCACTGTTAAAAAGTTTTTTGATGCACCACCCGAAGCTCTGCACCTGTGCACTGACGCCTTCGGCATCGGCGTCGGAGCTTCCCGGAGTTAGTCCCATATTAGACAGAAATAACCATCTGATATGGGTCATTTCTTTAATAAAACTGACATTTGTTGACATTCCCCATAGAGGCGGTCAGTGGAGCCAGATGCAATCTCAGCGGAACCACCGTCGATATCAGAGACTGAAGCTTTCGGTCTAGGCCTAGAGTCTAGTCCCATATCTGCATGAGCGTGTTGGTTTAGAAACTGAAGTTGACGAGGAAAGATTAACCAAAATCAAACTTCTGTGTCATATATCTCATTGAAATTAACCATAATGAATTAGAACTTACCAATGAGAACTTTGCCAAAAGTTTCCTGCCATATTTCTCACGACAAATCTTCGAATAACGCGAATTGAGATCCTTTTCGGCGCCTGTAAGGTTTTTTCACCAAGGTAATAATGGTATATTTGACAAGGCAAATAATTGAAGAAAATTAGATAACAAAAAGGAAAATGATAAGGGGTTAATTCACAGTGGTAAAATTTACACAAGACTATTTAGCTCCATAAAACAACATTTTATGATTTGATTGTGACATTACTAGAATAAGAAGTTGCCAAATACATTTTTTCCCCTCATTTGATATACATTTTAGGCCTATTTCGTGAACCTATGAGATGCATGAACTGTTAATAGTAAATTTATCTAAAATGTGACTTGCCACATATTTTTTTTTTTAAGCAGATACCTTTGTGTGCATGTGCATCATCATATGTGAAGAATGTACCGTATCATGAAGATCACGGTCAAGAAATAAAATAAAAAATCTTCATCGAACATGTATTTCATAGATTTTTTTATTGACTTTAGATCAATGCTGGATTGCAATCATCATTTAATTTGTAAAGTGATTTTAAGCGGTGAGAGAGGCTTGCTAAGACCATGGAAGTACTTTCCATGCTAAGACTTTTTTTTTCTTTTAACTATTATTAAAATTTGCATGAATGTGTGTGTGATTAAATGGATGTGGAGTTATAAAGAGCAAAAAAAGGAATAACAATGTATGTGTCTGTATAATGAGGAGAGTGATTATTAGAATTTGCATGTACATGTGTGTGTGTGATTAAATGGGTGTGAAGTTGAAAGGTATCTAGAGAGAGAAGTAAAAAGGAAATGATACTGTATGTGTCAGAGAGAGATTATATTAAGATATTTATGTATGTGTGTTTGATGAAATGGGAGTGGAGTTATACAATTAGGGAGAGAGCGAATAATGATCGAGGGAGAGATTTTGGGGAAAAGGACTACTATATAGCTAGCAATTCTCTAATTCTTTCCCATCAAAGAACTTGAGATCAACATGACAACTAGGCCTTTAGATTTATTTTCTTGGGCATAATAGGCTGCAAAAAAAAAACCAAAACAGATAGAAATGTCACATTGTGAGAGAGAGGTTCATGGAAAAGCAACACATCCGTGAGGACAGTAAGAGATGACCAGGATGGGACCATCAACATGGCGGCGTGTTCACTCGAGCGTGAAGCCCAGTGCGTGAATTGGCTAGCCGTTGTGTGTGCATAGTGTATGCCCATGAGCCTTCTCCTTCTTATAATTCTGTGGGTTAATTAAGCCATGTTAATTGGTGTTGTTGTTATTTATATTTTTATTATCATCGTTAGAATTATTATTGAAAATATCATTATTATTATAGCTGAAGTATTAATACCATAATTATCATTATTACCATTATTATATTATCTGTATCTGTCCGTGAGGTACATTATGATCACCGCATCTGGTTAATTATTATTCATCATTATTCTTCTTCTTCTTATCATAGATCTACTAGTAGTAGACCTAGTACTATTATTCTAGTATCATTATTAGAAGTATTATTTTTATTATTATAATTGTTATTATCAGCTTGGAGAGAATTGTCTTTGCTATAACAAATCAAAATTTGGAAGAAAATCGATCAATATTTGACTTGACTTTTTGACTAAAAGCCGTCCACACCATCACTGGGATGTACTGATCTTGGCTTCTGTTTCACAACGGCTTTTGCCCAGTGGCGGATCCAGTGGTGGAAAAAAAAAAACGTGTAAAAACGTAAATTTTACCTTTTTAGGGATTCCCCCCCCCCCCCCCCCCTGGCGCTCAAGGGGGGGGGGGGTGCAAATATTCGAGGGCCAAAAAAAAAATATGTGCTCACTACATCTACACGAGTTAAAAGAAGGACAATGGCAAGAGAGAGAGAGAGAGAGAGAGAGAGGGGGGGGGGGTAGCCTATTGCCCGCGTTCAAATTCAGTTTTCTTAAATTTATTAGACCTAGTACTGATGGTCATTTACCTACCATGTGATTGCCATGTGTACGCCACATCGAATAGCAAGTTTGGCTTAATTGCACCCAGTATATTATTATCATGTGTTTGGTTTTGTTATTGAAAGCAAGATATCAAACACATCATCATAATCTACAGAGTGCAACAACAATTGAAATTTATTTCAGGAATCCTAGCAATAAACGTGTTTTTTATTCGAAGTGCATTGTATAGAGACGATGAACAAATAGGAATAAACAACGTCGTTAGCGTGAGACCATTCACTTCTATCTCCCCCGCCAAATAATCCGAACAAAAGAACCAACCGAGGGGAATCAACTGTTAAACGAATTTATCATGAGTTTATCAAAGGCAACCGATTGTCGCTACAATTCAGAAATCGTCGATTGGCCGTTGCTTCTCCCTAAAAAATACCATGAGATATCAAGCTACATAGATCTATGATCGACAAAAAAGATATTGACTTGAAAACAGTCAGAAAACATTAGAACTAGAATGAATGAAACGTAATGCAAATGAATTAGAGTAGAATGAATAAGACAAGAATTCCTTTTACCATGTTAATCATCCAGTACCAAATACCCAATCAACATTCGACCCAGATTCATATAAGGGTAAGCTTAAAGATAAAGTTGAGTTCTGGTCATGTGATTGCATTGTGAAAGAACTACGGTGTGGAATCTATCAGAGAGGTTGACCATCTAGTATATAAGTATTCGTGTGTATTGCAAGGTTCTGAATTCATCAAAATGATAAGAAATTTGGCCAAATCTTGGCAAAGTTACAAGCACTGTACACAGAATGATGTATATGGGACTACACGAGCACATGGCGAAAAAAACTTACCCCCCGATTTTTCATTCATATTTAGAATATGAAGGCATTTGAAGAGCCATGCTTTTCAGGGAACATGTTTAATCTGATGTTCTTCCACTCTTGCATAATAACAATGATAACGCTCACAAATTATTTTTTACCTCTTCCCAGAACTCAACCTTCTCTTTAAAGACAATGATTCATGGAATTGTCAATCGTCATGATTGTATTCTCTAGACGTAATGCAAAAGATAATCGGGATAATAAGGGTTCTATTTATATTTCAAATACCTATTAATCAAATCAACATAAAAAAGAAAACTTAAAAGAATGTGCAAATACTTTCAATATTCAAATGTTCATATAATTAAATTAGTCATTTTCAGTAGTTTTGAGCAAGTTCGTTTTGTCTACAGCTAATTCTATTTTATTCAACAAATCCAACATCTGTGAATCTTTTAGTCCCTGAATCTCTGGACCACATTGCAAATAACCTATAGCACATATTCATCGGTTATTCTATCAAGCTCTACATTATGTCACATATTTTCTTGTGTAGGCCTCCGTATGCCTATTATATACTTACTGAATCAAATAAAATCGAATCGAATCGAATCGAATTAAATCAAATCAAATCAAATCAAACCAAATCACAGCAAATCGAATCAAATCAAATGTATCAGATATTATATCCCGCATTCTAAGAATATTGCAATCCGATTAGTCTAAACGAGGTCACATGATAAAAGATAGATAAGTACTATCTACCTGAGATAGGTCTTTTGTAACGCAATTTTTTGCTGCTGCCCCACTTGCCATTGAATACGCGTAGCAAAGTAGGTTACGCGAAATGTCAATGTCACTGTCAAATGAGCGAGCATCGACTTCGTTACATTGTATGCATGTTGCGCTTTGTAAAATCTAGCTGAAGCTAAACTGTCTGCAGAATCAGTTCTTTTAATATGTAAAATTCACTTTAAATAGACCTTATTGCCGATGTGGGATGTAAAACAAATATTAAACTCCTTTACTCGGGCAAGGATACAAACTATCTTCGCCTCGGTGATCTCGGGGCCACCATCATCCCTCGCCTTGCGGCTCGGGATGATAGTAACCCCCGAGATCACCTCGGCGATGATACTTTGTACCATTACCCTCGTAGTCGATTAATATTTGCTTACTATATCCCCAAAAATATTTGACCAAGGGGGGATGGCCTATGTAATTACCCCCCTCAATGTTATGCATATATGATGTTTATGATAAAATGCTCACCGTGAAGGTTTTCCTTTAAATTTTGCCTAAAAGTATTAACCAAATCGCACGAATCTAGTTTCATAAATCCAAAATTTGTCAACATCATAGGGGGCACATGGGCACATTCTCCCTCGGACTTCCCACTGTGCGCACAAACGCACAATTTAAGATGGTGTGCCCCGACGCTAACGCGCCAGCAGGAGTGGCAGAGCGACTTACACAGTGGGGGTGGGGGGGGGGGCACCTACAAAGGGAAATCTCAAAGTGGAAATATACAATTGTGTAGAAATTGGTATATAGCCCCAAATTGTGATTACATTACCAGGGACGATTTCAGTATTGTTTCTTTTTATAGATTATACAAGATATTGCTTAAGCATCATACTTTGCAGCTGGGTGTGATAGTCTGAACATTCATTTGCGAGCGAGCAAAGTGAGCGAGAAAAAATTTAAAGATTTGTGAGGCCGGTCGAAGTTGTTGGGTTTATTGGCGCTATCCATCGATTCCGATGATTTCCACCAAGCTTGGTTTATGAGGGCTCTCACTTGCTCTCACTTGCTCTTTCTTGCTCTCACTTTTGCTGCTCTACGTTTCTGTGATTCTGATACTTGCCCTGTGTGTCAGATAAAGACTTACCTTGACCTTTGTTATTGGCGTATGGAGGATTAAAATATGTGGTCGTTACTCATTATTTGTTAGTTATTTAATATTAGAACTGGTTGGAACTAATATTTTGAAGTTTTTGTCTCAATTTATAGAGTTAATGATAAAAATGTCTTATAATTTAATAGTATGCGCATTTAATCGGCTGCCATATTCTATTTTATTCAGATTTCGTATGTCCATCATCTCCTCTCACTCTGAAAAGCACAAGAATAATAACGACACCTCCCTCTTATAATTCTTTATATCTTCCAGTACCTTTTATATAGGCTAAAATGATTGAGCAGTTTTCTTAGTGTGCGAAACATACGATTCCCCCGTCTTTCATATGTAGGGCATGAGAACACAAAATGTTCAATAGTTTCGCAAATATGACAATCGTCACAAAGGCCAGTATCATG